TCTCACTGAGTTGCTTAGAGCCTCACTTTTGCAGAGGCTGGCTTTGAACTCAAGATCCTCCTGCCTCAGCCCCTCAAACCATTGGGATTAGAGGCATGCACTACAGCATCTGGTCCTCTTATATTCTACTTTGTTTACTGTGTCTCCCCCTATTTCAATGACAGCCCCCAAGATTCTGGCATGTGTTGTTCATTGCTTCTATTTCCCAAGACTTAGAAAAGCAACTGGCACGAGAGCACATCCACTAAATGTGTGTTTAATGTGTAAGTCAGCTAAGGAAGGCTATAGCTTTACCAGACTTAAATAAACCAAAGTCATGTTCATCAGCACTTGGCAGAGGCTCCACACCTCCCACAGCAAGGATAAAACAACTGAAAGCTATTCTTAAAGTAAGTGGACCATAAATCAAGTAGAAATCGCAGACTTTACTTTTTAACACTGAATCTCCCAGCTATTTACATAATCCCTACATCCAAAATTGATTAAGGGCCATTCAACCCTAATCATGTACAGTAATTGAGTTCTTCCTAGTCTATTTTTTTTAGATGTTGATGGATCTATATTTTATTCATTTATTTATACATGGTGCTGAGAATCGAACCCAGTGCTTTGCACACGCTAGGCAAGTGCTTTACCACTTATCCACAACCCCCGCCACATCTAGTCTATCTGCTCCAAAAAAGAAAAAAAAAAAAATTGTAGGGGAGAAGTGCTGGGGATTGAACCCAGGACCTCAAAGATGCTAAGCAAGCATTCAACCCGTGAGCTCCCCTAGTCCCTAACTGCTCCAATTATTTTTTTATTTTTAAGGAGAAAGGTAAACATGATTTTTTTCCCAAAAAAGTTGACTGAACCAAAATTTTTGTTCTTCTAATTTTTAGGCTTGGAGAGGAGGGTGGAGAAATAAAAGAATTATCCCAAATTTTTAAATGTTAGAAACCAGTGAAACTTTCACTCTGATTTAGAACTGGAAACTAGTTTCAGTCTGCATTGCCTCATTTTGTTTTTCCTCTTCATGGCGCTGGGGATTGAACCCAGGGCCTTGTGTGACACCCCTAGCCCAATTCTACTAATTTCTAACTGCAAGTTGGACATCAGTGCCTTCAGGTCCCTCTAACACCACACTGAGCATGTCCAAAATTCACCTACCAGCCCATCAGGAGCTCCCTGTCTGTTGAAAGCACCACCATCCTCCCATTTCGCAGTGGTCTTATAGTCTTCCTTCTCCATCCCCAACATCTCTCTCACCAACAAGGACAAACTACTGTAACTTTCTGCATTAAGTTGCTAAGTCCCTACTCATTTCTCACAAAATTAAGTCCTATCATCCTAGCCCCTTCATGATTACCTCTATCCTCCATAGCCAAGCTTATCTTCTCAATGATTCTCTTCCACCCCTTCCCTTTCACAGTTCTCTTTCCCTGGAATATTGTTCTGCCATCCTAGCTAGGAAAATAATTACTGGGTCATATAGTAAAATTATGTTGCCCTTTTTAGAAACTGCCAAACTGTGTTCCAAAGTGGCTACACCATTTTACATTCTCACTAGCAGTGTCAGAGGTTTCTAGTTTCCCTATGTCCTCACCAATACTTCTTGCTATTGTCTTCCTTTCTGATTATAGATCTTCTGGCAGATGTGAGGTAGAATTTCATTGTAGTTTTGATTTGCTTTTTCCTCATAACTAATGATGTTAAGATTCTTTTCATATGTTTATTAGCCTTGATTTATTTTTGGCACAGGACACAGAAAGGTAAGGAAAACCTTTTCAACCAAACATTGGAAAATACCCTCCCAACAACTACTTGCCATCAAGTTGACTTACAAGTCTCTGTGCTACTGTTACAGAACCAGCTTTTCCATATCAGGTTATTTAATGCATGTTAGGTTATTCACTTTACATAATAACAACATTACAAATATCTTCTTCATTTTACAGTGTGCTAGTGTTCCAAGAAAGAAAAAGTTGAAGTACTCCTCCTAATTAGCAATATCAGAGCACCTATTTGCCAGGACATATATACATTTTACACACACACACACACACACACAGGACAGCACCTGTCACAATCACTTTGAAATCTACATTCATAACGTGTACATAATATTGCTCCTTTCTTTCAATGTAGCTTAAGAAATCTTTTAAGTATTTTACTTAGAGACAGGGTCTCACTGAGTTGCTTAGCACCTCATTTTAGCTGAGGCTGGCTTTGAACTCGCTATCCTCCTGCCTCAGCCTCCGGAACTCCTGGGATTACAAGCATGCGCCACCACGCTCAGCTGCAATCATTCTTAAACATTCTTCCCTTGAGCAAGTTGCAGTGCCCCACCAAGAAAAAAAAAAAAAAAAAAGCAAGAGGCAACAATAATAAAAAATTGTTACACCACCTATCTGTGCCCCTTACTATTCCGGTCAAGTTCTCTAACTGCATATCTCACCAACCCTTCTCACACTCCTCTCTGAGAAACGAATGTGATGGTATCTCAGATTCGGCTTCTGGAGAACCAACTATCTACCAAAACCACTAGTCACTTGACACACTTCACTCAATCTGCACTACAACGGGATAAAAATGAGCTCAAAATAAATGAAGCAACTCGGCCAAGGTCACACAACTAAAGCAATACAATTAAGTACTTGAGCCCAAATGTGTACGGGACTCTAAAATACTTCACCTCAAGCTGTAGCATCTGCGAGACATCGGTAGTTCAGAATACTTTTCAAACTACCGAAATAGTGCACCGTCAACCACTTCACAGTGGAGAAAGTGTAACTTCGTTGCATGTAAATTCCCCTGCTACCCAAACATTTGAAGGAATCGGCTCGGTCTCCCAATCATCCGCATCCTATGAGCCCTGCCACCCCACGGCTTTCCCGGGTGCGGTCATCCCCATCCTCCAATCTCCTGCTGGCCTGAGGCCCCCTTTTGGGCTGTGGCAAGGGGTATCAAAATGAGGTCCGGAAGGCCAAAAGCCAGACTTGTTCAAAAGAGGAAAAGAGCCGAACCTCGAATTCAGGAAGGTTACATTCTGACCCGAGTCATCCATCTTAAACAAGCAACGACCCTAGGGGTCACCTTGACCCCTGCAGTGTGCTACACCGAACTTTTGCACAGGGTCAAGCCCGCCTGAAGGAAGGGCAGCCACACAAGAAGAGCCTCGAGGACCACTGCAAGTCGGCGTGGATAGGTGCTAGGAGCTGTGAACGAACTGAACTGAACCGAACCGACTCGTGGGCAGATGCCTCTCCTGGCGACTGCCTGACCTGGGGATGTGAGCCGCCATTTCCCCTGAGTCGGTGCTATGCGACCCGTACCTGCGGGCTGTAGGCTTCCGAAGCCCATGCTCCAGTTAATTTCTGCGTGAATCCACTAAATTTGTAATACATGATGCTGGTGTCCAGCTTCCCGCAGCCGCTGCCTGCGCGACCGCCCCAGAGAAGGACCCCGCCTCCCCTCTTGTGGTCCCAAGGCGCAAGAGGAAGGACCCCGCTCCTAGAGGCGGGCTGCCTAGAGAGTGCCTAACTTAAAACATGCTTTCTTAAGCGACATTATGGGAACAGAAGCTGGGTTCGTAAGTCTATGAAAGACAAATCTAGCTTTAAAAGGCATACTGGCTTCTGTGTCGGAGTTTGTAGGAAGTACGACGTTCCTCTTCCCCCTATTTAGATTAAGGCAATACTAAGACTCCTTAAAAAACGCGCAAGCGCCTCGAGGACCAAGTCCAGCAGCAGAGGCACCGCGGCGGTCAGGCGAGGCGGGATCTGGGCGGGGCATGGAGCTGACTGGGCGGGGCCGAGGGCGGGGCAGGGCCGAAGATAGCCGAGACTGCGGGCTTCCACCTACCTGGTGGTCTAGTTGAAGCTTTCCCTTCTGTACCAAATTTTGCTTGCTTTTAGTCTTGTTTCTTTCCTCCCGACCTAAATCACCTAGTGAAGCGCCCCGCTGTTTGTCTGCCTAGGAGTAGGGACAGGCGGGCCAGGCTTAACCTGGCAACCTGAGAGGGGCAGCGTCTAAGAACATCTGGAGCACCTGCTGAGAGGCTTTTAGTATCTAGGGCTGTTAGGGGTTTCGCCTCAATATTTATTATTACAAATAGCCTACTGGGCTTCGTGCAGAGGACACACACATAGTGACCTAAAACTTAAGTCGACAAGATGTAAATTTTGCAGTTCCTCACTCTGATCTTGACTCTCATTTGAGTTTTATGGGAATTGGTTGTTCATTCTTTTCCCAAGCTGTGCTCGCTGAGATAAATGCGCTGAAGAGAAGGTGCCTAGAATCATTTGTGAAATCTGGACCTTAAACCAGAAATATCTGGACTACCTTTTTCGTATATTTCGATGTAGAGGTGTTTTTAAGTCTCCACTATAGGCAAAATATTGCATAAAAGGAGTATACTCAGGATGAAACAAGAATTTCTTCACTAAAGCTCTGATTAGAAAGGCACATTATAGGTGTATTTATAGTGCATTTATGAACGCATGTAGCTAACTGATGAATGCTACTAACATTGATACAGAATTTTCCATTAACTCATCGAATCTTCATAACTACCTTAGGAGGTGGATATTATGATTTCTATTTTACAGTACAGGAAAAGGAGGCCAAGAGAAACGCAGCACCTGTCCCAGGTCAACAATTAGTAGCAGAGTTAGTCATCGAGCTCAAGATTCTGTATACTTAGCTATAACATGTTACCTATAACATTTAGGTAAATAGATATGAATCTGTTCTAAAAAGGGGAGTATCAAGGCTGAGCACTCCAGAGCCATGGTGTACACCATCATCCCACTTTGGCAAGTCTAAGCCCCAAATTCCCAAGTATTCAGCACTACCAATACCCTAGAGAGTAAGATTTCAGCAGATTCATAATATAATCCAATGCAAAGTTGCTGTTTTTACAAAGTCATAATGAAAACAATATGATATTTGAGTTTGAGTCTTATTTTCTCCATGGCTGAATGAGTTAAAACTAATCATTTCCATTTTTGGAGCAGTAATCATCATCATCATCATCATCATCATCGATCTTTAGTGGTCTAACAATCAACAGTTCATGAATTTACAAAGTTTAAAATAAGTTGCTGATGTTTACCTTTGGATCCTTTTGCTTTTCCATAGTTCTCAACTATATATAAGAATCTTGGGGCTGGGGATGTGGCTCAAGCGGTAGCACGCTCGCCTGGCGTGCGTGTGGCGCGGGTTCGATCCTCAGCACCACATACAGACAAAGATGTTGTGTCCGCCGAAAACTAAAAATAAATAAATAAATAAATATTTTTTTTAAAAAAAAGAATCTTAATTACCACAAACTTTTCTTGATCAATCTAATTTAAATTGAGTAAATGCTACATGTAACAATAAACATTAGCAAGGATATAGGGGAAAGATATACACTCATACATTGCTAGTGGGACTGCAAATTGGTGCAACCACTTTGGAAAGTCGTATGGAGATTCCTCAGAAAACTTGGAATGGAACCACCATTTGACCCAGTTATTCTGCTCCTTAGCATATACCCAGAGGACTTAAAATCAGCATACTATAGTGACATGGCCACATCAATGTTCATAGCAGCTCAATTCATAGCAGCTAAGCTATGGAACTAACCTAGTGCCCTTCAGCCGATGAATGGATATAGAAAATATGGTACATACACAATGGAATATTATTGAACCATAAAGAAGAATGAAATTATGGCACTTGCTGGTAAATCAATGGAACTGGAGACTGTCATGCTAAGTGAAATAAGCCAGTCCCAAAATCCCAAGGGTCAAATGTTCACTCTAATGTGGGGATGATGCTGACTCACAATGGCGGGGGCAGGGGGGGTTGTAGGGGGTCACCAGACTGGACAGGGTGGAGTAGGGAGAAGGGAGGAGGAATAGGAATGGGAAAGACAGTAGAATTAATCTGAAATAACTTTCCTATGTTCATATATGAATGCATGACCAATGTAACTCCACATCATGTAAAAACACAAAAATGGGAAATTATACTCTATGTATGTATATGATATGTCAAAATACATTCTATTGTCATGTATAACTAAAAAGAACAAAAAGTTTTAAAAATAAAATAAATTAAGTAAATGCTGGAATCCCACATGCCAAGAAGAAAGAATGAGCTTTCTAGCAAATACTGGGTAGAAAGAAAGGTATTTCGTAGAGTTTAGATGGGAAGGGAAAATTAAATTATTTAGGACAGCTCCTTTTCTCCATCCCACTGGTCTTCTGGCCATATATTGGAAAAAGAAGGAGAGACTATTTCCCCCAGTTCTTAGCAGCATTAAGGTGTAGCAGCTTCTTGAAGTATAAAGGTGCCTGTCAACGCTGGTTATTTTCTTAAAGTCCCTGCCATCTGATTTTAGATCCTGCAAGACATAAATTAAGAATCCTGAAAATGTTACAACAGCCGGGCTGTTCAGTGGGAGATAAAATGTCAGTAGCAGAGTGTGGGTTGGGATGTCACATGGAGTGGATGATCAAGGGAAGATTTTGTCTCATTTCCCAAATAAAATGCAGCACACTCTTGACAGTACTAAGGCACCCTATTCTCATTCGTATTTGCACATCCCACCCAACATCAAAGATATGATCGTTCTTTCTTATCATGATCCCTCAGGTTGTTCCCTAGATCCTATTCTGAGAGAAAGTGACCACGACTCAGAGTGCAGAGGAGCTTGCCAATCGCCAAGTGAACTGAGTGAGTGCAAATGCCAGTCAGAATCAGACCTCCGCAGCTTCTCCATTTGCAAGGCTGCAGCGCTAATGGCCTCTGGCAGGCTGCTCTGTGAAAGCACTTGAGGAATGGATGGAAAACCGATAAAAATTTTAAGTGGGGTTATACCGAATATAAATAGGAACTGCCATGTGAAATAATTCTTAATTTTTTTTAATTCTCTGATTTCCCCAGAATAGAGTTTTTAAAAATCAACACTTGATGAACATGCAGCCCTTGTAGTAGTAGAGCTGATTCCTTCCACCCTTTCCTGTGTTTTTAGGAAGGCTTGTATATCACCTGGCTTTGGTGTCACCTGTTGGGAGCAGAAATATGAGTCCTAAGCATTTATTTTAGGGGTTTTTACCATGGGAGGGGACATTCAGGGCAGAGGACCTCGAAAGCCCTGCTTTCTCTCATTTTGTTCCTTTGCTGTCAAATCTGCAAACAGAAGATTTTCCTAACCTGGGAAAAGATATGTGGAAAATGGGATACATCTAGTCCTCTGTTCCAGTGAAGTGTTGCCTTCTTTTTTTTTTAATTATGGTTTGTGTCTACCCTCTCTGATGGAAAAAAAAAAAGAGGTAGAGAGAATACATTTTTCCAATACTTAAAACCACTAGTGATCCCCCCTAAGAAAAGCATCTCCAGTAAAAAGCAAAATGGAGAGTTAAACTCACTTTATGATACTTAGAAGATGACAACCTGCCGTGCAATTATTCATAATTTTCATGTGGCAGAAATCTCAGCTGTCATCTCCAGTCTTTTTGTCAAAGCCCTATCTGGTGTGGAAATTTTGTCTTTGAAATCTGAAATCCAGTATTATATCAATATTGAAAAACAAACCTTTGGGCTGGGGTTGTAGCTCAGTGGTAGAATGCTCACCTTGCATGTGGAAGGCACTGGGTTTGATCCTCAGCACCACATAAAAATAAAATAAAGGTGTTGTGTCCATCTACAACTAAAAAAAAAATTTTAAAAAGAAAAGAAAAACAATCCTTTGTTAAAGCAAAGGAGTGGAGGGTCTGAATGGCACATATCTCACCCAAAGGAGGGGAGATGGCAGCTGGGACTGCAGTTGCAGGGACAGCTTTATTGCAGTTCTGGATGAACATATTGACATCAACTCCCTACTCTGACCTTCTCATTGTTGAATGTCAATACAGTGCGTGAAGCTGCCTCACTCTTGTCTGCCTGTTCTTCGTTATATGCAAGTCAAAAGCACATCCACAGAGATTATGTATTTAAGTCAATTTTGACACATTGCATTTCATTTCACTGGTAAAGAAAGGCTGAGGTATGACTCAGAATTTATTTTAAATCATCTTAAATACACTTAATTATGCATAGAAATCCAGAACAAGATTCATGCTACTTTACATTAACATCTATAAAAATACTGTAGATGTAATTGTTGTTCTGTAATTGTTGTTCTGTAGAGAGAATAAAAGGAAAGCAATGACCCTCCCTCATTTGGGGGGAAGGGCTGGATCCTAGTCCCTGAAGAATCTCACTCTCTGCATCGTATATGTTAGGAATGTTTAAACATTTTGTAATAATGAGAATATATGACTTTTGTAAGCCTAAATATACTCGCACAAGTAACACAACATCCTTATAAGGCATAAAAATTATATTTTAAAAATGTTTTCATGTACTTACACCTCAAACCATGAGTTAATTTAGGATATTCTTTAATCACCCCTGAGTAAATATGAAGAACTATTAAGTGACATGCCACGCGACAGGCCCTAAGGAAGGTGACTCAAAGGCCATTCTGCCCATTAGGGTTGACACTACAAGGGTTTTTCACAGGACTATTTGAGAAAGGAATGAATAAATGAAAACAAGAGTGAGCAAATGAATGAATATTACCTCCAAACATTGCCATGGGAATGAACAACCAACCTGGGTAGTTATTTCCATGAGTACTCTGATGGCCATGGAAAGTGGTAATCAAGCAGAAAGGATATTAAAAACCATGCACCTGGGGGCTGGAGATACAGCTCAGTTGGTAGAGTGCTTGCTTTATATGTACAAGGCCCTGGGTTCAATCCCCAGCACCACATATATAAATTGTCTTCTGTAGTACTAGAACTTTCTATCTGGATTTTTTTAAAGCAGTGACAAAGCTAGATGGTACATTTGTGTTTAACTTTTTTTAATACTTTTTTTTTAGTTGTAGGTGGACACAATACCTTTATTTTATTTGCTTTTTATTTTTATGTGGTGCTGGGGATCATGCTCACACATGCTAGGCAATCACTCTACCACTCTACCACTGAGCCACAACCCCATGCCTGAACTTTATATCTTTAGAAAAAAATCTACCTGGGGCTAGAGTTGTGGCTCAGTGGTAGAGCGCTTGCCTAGCACATGTGAGGCACTGGGTTCAATCATCAGCACCATATAAAAAATGAATAAATAAAACAAAGATATTGTGTCCATCTATAACTAAAAAACATTTTTAATGGAAAAAAAAAAGAAAAAAATCTACCTGGACCTATCCAATATGAAAACATGGGATGCTCTGTAGCTCTGTAACCACTTAAAGTCAGTATGTCCAGAATCCTATGGATTCTAAATCCATTAAATTTGTGACCCTAGCTAGTTCCTTAACCTCTCTCTTTCTTAATTTTTTTTATGGTACTGGGGACTGAACACAAGATCACTCTGCCACTGAGCTACATCCACTGCCCTTTTTATTTTGAGATAGGTTCTCCCTAAATTGCTTATGACCTCACCAAGTTGTTGAGGCTGGCCTCAGACATGGAATCCTCATGCCTCAGCCTCCCTAGTGCACACCAACTCCTTAGCCTCTCTGGAGCAGAGAATAAAAATTCCAATTTAACAGGTTGATTGGAAAGGATTAAATAAGATGAAATATGCCGGAAAACCTTAAAGAAGATATGTAAATATGAGGATGTGCATATGAGAAATAATGTTGCATAAATAATAAAACTGGATCTAAAGTCACTGATATAAACCAAAATTAATTTAGTATGATGAAAAGCATTAGAATTTTCATTCTATTAGCGTTTGTGTTTGTGTACAGTTAGCTGGTTATAATAAAATGTAACCTAATACAGGCATGGTGGTGCACATCTCTAATTCCAGCAATTCAAGAGACTGAGGCAGAAGGATCCCAAGTTCAAGGGCAGCCTGCACAATTTAGCAAGACCTTCTCTCAAAATATAAATAAATAAATTGGGTTGGGGGTGTAGCTCAGTGGTAAAGCTCCCCAAATTCCATCCCCAGTACAATAGCAACAAAGATACTGTAACCTAAAAATCTTCATTTCCTCAGCCCCTTTTGCTCTTCTCTCTTTCTCTCTCCTTTCCCCAAAAGTAATAAATTTTCATTAAGACCATGGGACAGCTGGGCATGGCTAACTGGGGATGCTGAGGCAGGAGATTAAGAGTTCAAAGCAAGCCTCAGCAACTTATGGAGGCCCTAAGCAACTCAGCAAGACCATGTCTCTAAGGAACTATTTTTAAAAAGGGCTGGGGGTGTGGCTCAGTGGTTAAGTGCCCCTGGGTTTAATCCCTCATCCCCCCCCCACAAAAAAAGACCATGGGACAGCCAGAGGAGAGCTGTCAGGTGGATCCCAATATAAAAACAGCCACCAAAAACTGGAATCTCTGTTTAGAGACTGAAAGCCAAAGAAAGGAGTTTGGTGTCCTACTGAAATAACAGCCAACCTTTTCATATTGACATTAAAATTAAAAATCAGATCATCTTCAAATGCCAGATCTATAGTTCTACTAGCCTCTCCCCTTCCTCCTCAGATTTATTTATTTATTTGGTTGGTTTTTTGGTGCCTGAGATTGAACCCAGGGACACTTAACCACTGAACTACATCCCCAGCCCTTTTTATATTTTATTTTGAGATAGATCTTGCTAAGTTGCTTAGGGCCTTGCTAAGTGACTGAGGCTGGCCTTGAGCCTGAGATACTCCTGCCTCAGCCTCTAGAGCTGCTGGGATTACAGGTGTGCGCCACAGCACCCAGCTCCTCAGATTCTTAAACAGCATAGATGTGATATTTCTTTAGTCTCTGCTACAATGGAAACCGAAAGCCATGGTCCTAAGATTTTCACTGAAGAGGGTGACATGTACCTAGGCTGTCTCTGACCAACCTAGTTTTGAGTCCCAGCTCTTCCTACTGGCCAGTTCAGTTTTCCTGGACAAGTCCCTTCCCTGGTCTGAGTCTCAGAAGTAAAGCGATAGTTCTAAATCACAGGGTCCTCATGTATCATCAGGTAGTAAACTCCTGTCTGTGTTCACCTGTGCCTGGCGCTGCCTACTGGGTGATTCCAAGATATTTGGCTACGGTAGGGTGGAGGGCTGGAAAAGTCAGCCTGGGTCTTCTTCATAGAAACGGACAGGGAAAACAAAGGCCGTGAAAACAGGCTAAGAGAAACTTAGAAACCTGCGGAAATGAGTCTAATGGAAGGCAAATCTCCCCCTCAAAAGAAATGGAACTTGCTGAGGTAGTGGCTCAGTGGTGGAGCACTCACCTAGCACGTGTGAGGCACTGGATTCGAAATTCAGAAAAAAATAAATAGTTATAAAAACAATTTCTGTCTTAAAAAAAAAAAGAAAAGAAAGGGAACTGGAGGAAGTATGATATTCTCCAAACCACTGTTGAGAGACTTGGAAAGCGCAAGTCAGGGACACTGACCCTGCACCTGTATCTCCCAGCCACACCTCTGTCCTAAGCACGCAGCAGCCTCCACTGACTACCCATCAGTACCCGCCCAGGAGAGCAATTGCTAGGGCATAATTCCAAACAATGCAAAGCCCAAAGGTTCCGAGCCTTAGGTCAAAACTTGGCTTTCTGACAACAGGAAGACAGGGTGGCATTTAATTGTGTGAACCTCCAACTCACTCCAACAGCCAACTTCAAAGCTACCCTGTCCTCTCACCTGGAACCACTCCTGTCTCCTAACAGCGGCAGATGCATATTGGAGAATAACTGCATCTATTTTAATTTAAATCATGGTAAAGTTAAAATCAACCCAAGGTGTTTGTGTGTCCCCCCCACCCAGAGCAGAAGCAGGCGCTCTGTGAACACAGCCTTGTCTCGGCACAGGTGTCAGAAACGAGCCTGTAAATCTGCTCAGGCAGTTCTGTTCTTGAATCATTAAGAACAACCGAGTGGGTGGAACAAGAACATGAAATTGCTGTGTGCACTCATGTTTTGTTTATGGAGCAATCATTTCTAGACGTGTTTTCTTTTTTTATGAAGAATCCTTTCTATGTTTGCCTGTTAACACCCCACCTTCCTGCCTGTCCCTAGCTCTCTCACACCCACTAAAAAGAAACATTAAGAGCGTTACGAAAATCTCCGCAAATTTAAAGAATAGGTTACATTAAGTGTCTCTCTAAACCAATTCCATTTATTCAGTCAAAATAAATGATTTAGTAATATGAATAATACAGGTAACAACTGAACTTGAACATTGTGTATTGTTTAGAAAACTCATAACAAATGCTGGAAAAGTCATCAAAATCACTTTCCTTGTTCTACCCTTGTGCAAGGAGGACCTTGTTTTACCCAGTGGATTGAAAGTTCCTGTGATGCTAATTATTGGCAGTGTTTAATTAATGGCTTCTGTCCCTGCCACAGATTTTTTTTTTCACTACACGGAGCCTCAGTTTCTGCATTTATAAAATGGAAAAGACTGGGGCTGGGGTTGTGGCTCAGTGGCAGAGCACTTGCCTTGCACACATGAGGCACTGGGTTCAATCCTCAGCACCACATAAAATAAATAAATTAGTAAAACAAAGGTAACATGTTCATGTTCAATTAAAAAAAAAAAAAGGAAAAGACTTCTACTTTGTGAGGCTTGGGTGTATTCATGTGTGTGCCCAGGATGTAGTAAGCACTCACTCAACTGTAATAACTAATAATCAGTGCCTAGGCAGACAGAATGGAATAGGGTTTTGCCAAATCCTGTCAATCCTCTTCTCCCCTACACCCTAACCTTGGCACAGAGCAGCTGCCAACAAATGGTGGCTCGTCAGGATTTAGCCTGGCTATGATGGCTGTAGTTAGTGCCCTAGGCTTCCAGGACACCCACAGCTTCCCTCCGTCTTGTGGCCTGCCTGGGAAGGGAGTGACCCCAAAGAGGTTTGTGTGGAGCTCTGCTTTCTACCTTCTGGGCAAGCCTCATGTCATTGTTTTCTCTCCCACTGTTTTTGGCTTCTCAGCATTGTCCTTCTTGGCACCGCCCCAGCCATGTTCTCGGTGACACATACCTGAAATGTCCTCCTGTTTGTGGCATCCAGCTTGCTGTTGGAGGCTGAGCGGGATGGTATCCAGTGCTTTAAAAGAGGGAAAGATTGCATTAAATTTTCTTTCAGTAAAATGAGCTAGGTTTTTAAAAAATGTCCCATGGAACAGATTTCATAACTTAGTTCTGTAAGCATTTCTCCTCTGCCTGCTCTAATTGCAAAGGGTTCTTTGAGAACAATGGCATCCAGCATTAGTGCTCTTCAGTAGGTGAATAAGGATGCATCTACACAGGGCTTTCACCCACAGAATGGCTTCTCAGATTTATCCACAATACCAGGGAAACCTTGCCAGCAAGGCTGGGGCTGGTCAAGGAAGGCCACGATCAACAAGTTTGTAGATCTACGAGTTTGTCGATCATGGTCTCCCCAGGATGGCCTTGCAAGCCTCCACAGAAATGCTTCTGATCCCAAATCTATTTGGCCAACATTCAGTGGCAGGACAAAGTCAACGCGAGCAGAGCAAAGCAGGCCACCAGGCCTACTTTCTTCGGGATCTGGGACTGCTGCCCAGGGCTATCGGTCCCCAGCCATGTGCACTCCGAGAGCTGAGGATCCAATTAGAGAACTGAGAGTAGTGGTCATACACTTCCAAGAGAGCAGTAATGCTGTCAATCATCTGGCACTTAATTTCCGGTGGGTTGTAAAAGTGCCATTTATCCTGCAAGCTTCAGGGTGAGCAGCTCGGTAGAATTCTAAGTTAAATGATGCAAGAAGAACAACTCTTGGTGAGAATTTTGTGCCTTGGAATTAAAAACAAAGCAAAAAAGACCAAACCTATTTTTATATTGATTGCAAATACCGCAACGAAAGAATTTCTTTCCATTAAATTCCCTTGATGAAGCCGTAGGTAACCCGAGTTGACAGACACTGGAGACTGCAACCGTTCTGCAGGCACCTCGAGGCACAAATGGAGCTTTGTGATTATGCCTGGAGGGGGGTAGGGCCTCTGCAGGCTGCTCAGGACAAATTTTAGTCACGTTGACATTGTCCAGCCCATAAAGAGATGATCCCCGTGGAAAATGGGTAGAGTCAAGCTGAGAAGAATGTGGAGTGGATGGACCACGGGGGACAGCAGCAGTGGCCCTAGAACAGAGAGGCAGTTGGTAGAGGGAGAGCCAGATGCCGGGTCACCATGGAACAATTATGGTGAAAATTATGGTGAACTTTTCATTTTGAAAAAGGGTCAGGGAAAGAAGAAACAACTAGTGGCATGGTCTGTTATTTAAAATACTTATAGTATACAAATATGCTATTCAATAAATATGGCCCCAAAATGCACCATTAGCTTCTATAATAAAGGTAGGATGGCAGACTATCCAATAGAATGCAATGTCATGGGGTCTGGGCTGGCCGATATGGTGGCCACTGTCCCATGTGGCTAATTAAGCACTTTAAGTGTGGCTACAGGAGAACCAGGGTCTATGGCCTGCGATGCACAGGTTTAAGGTGACACAAGTGGAAAGAAGAAAGCAGACCTTTCTCCTAAGAGCAACCTCCCTTTTAAGTCCTGAAAGAGGGCAATCCAACTCATTTGCTAATGAATTCAGGCTGCAGGGAAAAAAATATAATTTCAATTTGTATTGAAAAGTGCTTTAATTTCTGTCTAAATGTTGAAGCATAGTAACTTCTCTTTTTCACAATTTCAGTGAGAAAAATATCATTTTATCGTTCTGGAAAATGGAAGTGTCATTCTCACCATGCGCCCACCATTAATGTCGCCATCTTCCAGCCACACGGTGCTCTGCCTCTGTGGGCTTCTAGCCTCATGTTGTCATTTTTACAGCCAGAGGCATCAATGCATTCTTCTGTTGCTCATGACATGTTGGGCTTCCCACCCTGATTTGGATAATAGTTCACTGCATATCAACATTTCTGTTTGTGAAATGGCCACTTTTTTCTCTGGCTGTTCAGCAACCAGCTGCTGTCAGCAAGTCTGAGCGCCACCCTGAACCTAGGCAACATCCCCGAGGACAAAGTGGCTTCTGCACAAAGGTAGTGGGCACCAGGGAAGGGGCAGCACACAGGCCTCTCCTGCTGCCTACCCAGGGCCCAAGCCCCCAGAAACCCCTACAGAGTAGGGTCTGAGGCCTTGACCTCACCCCTTGCAAGGGGCAAAAGTCAGGCCAAGGGGAATGAATGAGGGGAACACAGAGGTCCCACACAGGGCATAGGTTGGAGGCAGCAGGCCAAGTTCTGGGAAGCAGGGGAACAGGAGGGGACCCAGGCTCTTCAGGCCAAACAAGACATATTTACAAATCCATAAAGTGCAAGCACCAGGCAACAGTCTTCTCGATATGAGGGTTTTGTCCCAGTCTGGTAAAAAGTGCCAAGGACTCACCCTGCAGGGGTGGCCCTTAAGGAGTGGGGAGGAGGCTGGGATAGCCCAGGCAGCTCAAGGATGCCAAGAGGACACACCAGACCAGGCCACACGAGCTGAACAGGCCACTCAGCCAGGTCTGCCTAATTGATAAAGGCTCCTAATGAGCAGGATAAACACCATTTGGGGCCATTTGCTGTGAAATGGACTGAGGTGTATGAGAAATCGGCCTCATATGGACAGAAAACACACACATCAGCAGAAAATAATGTGCTGGAAAAGTTTAAATTGAAGACGTGCCGTTCCGAGTGTGCAGAGGTGTTAATGCTTATGTAATTAATCATTTCAAATTTGAAAATTGGGACTTTTTTTTCCATTTTAATTAATTAGCCAGTAGACTTGTTATAGTACATTTTTCATGTCAAAAAGGCAGTCGGTTCTGAGAGAAGGGAGTGCAGCTGCAGGGGAGAAGTGCAGAGTATTAGAGTGTGCTGTGGAAAAGACCGGGAACCACCATCATCCTGCCCAAAATATCCCTGTGGAGGGAACGGGAGCCCAGAACTAGGCAAAACACGAGGGACTTACCCGGGTCCCATGAATGCAAGACCGTGCGGTGCTCACATTTTTCAGTATCTGCATTAGTCAGCTTTCTGTCACTGTGACAAATACCTAAGATAAACAAAAAGAGGAAGGGTTTATTTGGGCTTATGGTTTCAGAGGTTTCAGTCGATGGTCACTTAACCCTGCAGTTTTGGGCCTGTGGCAGCACTGTGCCTTATGGTGGGAGTACACAGCAGAGGAGGCTGCTCATTTCATGGTCAGAAATGAAAGAGAAAGAGGAAGGAGCTGGGGTCCCAATATCCCCTTAAGGGCACACCCTCAGTAACTTCCTTCCTCTAAGCACCACCTCCCAAGAACTCCACAGACTGGCAACCTAGCTTTTAACACATAGGCCACTGGGGGGCCATTTCAAATCCAAGTTATAGCAACCCCTTACCCAAAGTTGTTGCCTGCTTGGCCTACGGATTTGTCTTTTTTTAGAAAAAGGATGCAGGAAGAGGATTACAGTTTAGATTTTTGATGCCAGTCACTGGGGTTCTAGTCCTGATGTTGAGAAACTGATGTGACTCCATTTTTTGAAAAATAAATGAATCACAGCAGCTTCTACCTCTAGGCCTGTACTAAGGAAGGGAGCGTGACCCTTGTCCTTGGAAAAACGCACAGAGCCCTCCTAAGCACATACCCACCCTGCTGAGTTGTTTGTAAATAACAGGAGGTGTCCCTAACTCAGTTAGGCTAGGTGGGGACCCAAAGCAACCCCCCTAGCAACCTCCAATCAGCATGAGACAGGGAAAATACCTGGGATGCCAGATAACCCCCAAGTAGTTTATGGTGGTTGATAACAAGTTGGGAAACCATGTAGTTTAGCACGTACACCCCTCGTGGTCTAAACCAATCAGTCCAAAGGAATCCCCTTCTTGTACTAACCAATCACCCCTACCCAACTTGTTCCCGCCATTGAATGTGCTAATCAATGTTAAGAGTTGTTGTTTGATTTTCCCGCAGTATGGAATGATTTGCTGTGTGATGTTGTGACGCATAGAGTATCCCCCCAAACCTATAAAATCTCACTGAACAAAGGACCAGGACTCACTCCCTGGGACCGCTGCATGGGGAAAGGTTGTGAGTCCAGGCTCGAGCTTGCAATAAAGACTCTTGTGTGATTGCATCGGATTTGGCTCCTGGAGGTCTATTGGGGTCCCATAAATCTGGCATAACAATGTCACCTGCTCGCTGGAAATTTTGGACAACTCACTTCACCTCTTTGTGCCTCTGCTTCCAGCTTTGTATGATGCAGACAAAAGATTCAGGGTTCCTAAGAGAAAAAATAAATAAATAAAATAAAATAAAGCATATATATTGCTTACTTAGATGCCCAGAAAATACCTAGACTTAGAAGTGGTAGGTTTTATCACTGTACTTCTTTGTGAGACAGAATATCACCCTTGACTTCTTCAGAAAACTTTATGTATATGTATTAAAATATACATAACAGCCAGATGCAATGGTGCACTCCTATAATCCCAGTGACTTGGGAAGCTGAAGTGGGAAGATTGCAAGTTCAAGGACAGTCTCAGCAACTTAGTGAGAACCTGTCTCAAAATAAAAACATAAAGCACCCTTGGGTTCAATTCCTAATACTGCAAAATAAACAAACAAACAAACATAATATGAATTACCATTTAACTATTTTAATTTTTCAGCTCAGAGACAATAAGCATATTCATGGCTTGCCATACAACCATCACCACCATCCACCTCCAGAACTTTTTTAACTTCCGTAACTGAAACCCTGTACCCAATAAACATGAACTCCTCTTTCACCCTCCACTCTACTTTCTATACCTATGAATCTTCCCTACGAACTTCATCTAAGAGGAATTATACAATATCTGTTCTTTGTGATTGGCTTATTTGACTTCCCATAACATCTTCAAGCTTCATGCATGTTGCAGAACATGTTAAAATGTTCTTCCTTTTAAAGACTGAATAGTATTCCACTGTAGGGATGTACATATTTTGATTTTCCACTCATCTGTCCCTAGACACGTGGGTTGCTTTCACCTTTTAGTTATTGTGAACAATGTGGCTATGAACATAATTGTACAAATATCTGAGTTTCCTGTGAGTAGACTTTCTGGGTCATAGTTAATTCTGTTTAATTTTTCGAGGAGTCTCCACATCATTTTGCATAGCTTCTCTACGATTTTATATTCTTACAAGCAATGTACATGGACGCTTGCCAACACTCGTGGTTTTCTGGTTGTTTTACAGTAGCCATCCTGAGGGGGGGGGGTGTGAAGTGGCATCTCTTTGTGGTTTTGACTTGCATTTCCCTAATGCGGAGTGAGGCTGATCATCCTTTCGAGTTCCCCATAGTTATCAGATAGCAGATGCAAAGGTTAGAGAGCACAGCAGAAATTTCTTGGGTCTGGGTGTGAGGACTGCTGAAAGAAAGGAGCACTAGCTGGTAATGCAGGGGCTGGACAGGCTGATCCTGAGGGTGGCCGAAGGTGACTGTGAATTCAAAACTGGAGAGAGTCCAAGAAAGAGGAAACTGAACAGTGAAAAGGAGCTCTTTCGCGTAAGCTGGTAAACCCACTGCTGTGGATCAGCCCAGAGGATCCTGGATTTGTGTTTCTGGTGGGAGGGAGAGGCCTGGCCTCCCACTGCACCCCTGGAGCGGGCCCTTGGCGAGAGTGAAGCTATGCCTCCTTCCCACCATGTCTTCCCACCAGAGGCTCCAGGCCTGGTCCCAGGCACCTCAGGGAGCAGATAAAACCAGGAAAGGCCACTGACCTGTCCCTCTGCAGAGACTCCCAGCCTTGCCCCTCTTCCCCCTACTGCTCCAACTCTAGTATGTCCTCCCACCTCCTTGCTTTCCTGTTCCAGCATGATCTGAAACTGTTTATTGGCTTAGCTTTTAGTTGTTCTTCTCCTGCTCTGGACCATGAGCTCATGAAAGGAGGGACCTTGTCTCTCTTCCTGGCACAGAGCAGGAGCTCAGTAAATATTTATTGAACAAATAGATGAAGGGCTTCTTGAAGGCCCCAGTCTCTCCTCCACAGACACGGGCTGGATCCCACATCTCCCTTCTCCACCTTTATCCTCTGTGCAAATATCTGAGTTTAATGTACAAATCTCAGCATGGGTTTCACTCAGTTTTTTCACGGAAAATCTCTGCTGACCTCCTGTCTCCCCTCAGTGCTGGCTCTCAGCTCTGGATGCCCCCAGCAGGTACAGTAGCCAAGACTTCAGTTTATCCCCAAACTCTCTTCTGGTCCTCTTTTACAATATCATCCCCAATCAAGAACCTGTACCCCCAGGCCTGTCAAGTCTAAATTTTTCTGCCTAATTTCCTAAATTCTCAAAAACCTGTTAGGCCCAGGGGTTTTTATGTTAATTCTAACCCACATAGGTAATCTGTGGTCACTCAAAGTTCTGTTGCTTCAGCCCCTCTGCAAATGAAAGCCTTAAAAATGTGTTACTTCTTTGACTCAGAAATTCCACTTCTATGCATTTGTTCTAATAAGTAATCATAATTATATGCAAATATGTATCTTCAAGGATATGCACTGTGGTGGAAAAGTGGAAATAAACTATCTAATAAAAATAAGAAATTGTAGGGCTGAGGGCATATAGGTCAGTGGTACAGTACTAATGTGGCACACCTAAGGCCATGGGTTAGATCCCAGGCAGTGCCAAAACAAAACAAAAAGCAATTGTTTAAATAAATTATGATGCATATGTAAAATTAAATACTTTGAATCCATTACTAAATCATGCTGTAGAATTCTGGATACTGGAATATGTTACTAACATGGTGTTAATTTTGTCAAAGCAGGAATATTAATGAAGATATAATTTGAGGTGCTAAAACAAAGGTCAAAATAATAGTGACTTAAACAAGAGAGAAGTTAATGGATAAACAATAAAGGGTTGTTTTAGTCGTCGTGACCAAAAGACCTGACAAAAACAATTTTAGAGGAGGAATAGTTTATTTGGTGCTCACAGTTTCAGAGGTCTCATCCACAGACAGCCAACTGCATTCCTCTGGGCCTGAAGTGGGGCAGAACATCAAGTCAAAAGAGTGGAATGGAAGAAAACAGCTCAAGACATGGCCACCAGGAAACAGAGAGAGAGTTCTGATCACCAGGAACAAATACATACCCCAAAGGCATGTCCTAGTGACCTGCGTCTCCAGTCATACCCTACAGCCTACAGTTACCACCTAGCTCATTCATTCAAATGGATCAACACATTGAATAGGTTAAGATCCTCAAAATCCAATCATTTCACCTCTAATACTACTTGCATTATCTCACACATAAGCTTTTAGGGGACACCTCGTCTAAACCATAACAGAGGTCTACAGGGGCAGGTTCCTTCTTTATTGTTACTCTATTGTCCTCTAATTTTTAAAAAATTAGAAACTCTGTCACTCTCATCCACCTAATGGCCTACAACAGCTGCCCCAACTCAGGGTATTACAGCTGTGGAGGAAGGGGAGAAGTAGACACAAAGGGCAGACCCCATTTTTTAAGAATGTGAGCTAGAATTTGCATACATCCTTTCTGCGCACATCCATTAGCCTGAACTCAATCACACAGCTCTACCTTCCTGTACAGGAGACTAGAAAATGAGTCCTACACCCAGGGAGATTGTGATGCTTCAGTAAGTACTAAAGGATTCAGGCAGAGTGGATATGGGAGATATTGAATAGCCTCTCCCATAGCAGACAGCGAGACAGCATGTCCAGTAGGGTACATACCAAAAAATGTAGCAGCGATCATCTCTAAATGGTGCTATTTATATTTTGTTTGTGCTTTTCTGTACATGTTCTTTAATGAATATATATTACTTTTGAAGTCAAGATTTTTTAAAAAGTCAATCTTATTTCCTAAGAACTATTTTGAGTCACCCTGAACTTCTGCCTCATTTCCTGCCAGCCCAGCCCTGATTCATTTCACCTCAGGCCTTTTAATCACGCTGTCCCAGAGGCTGAGTGCTGCCTGACCTTCTCTCCCAATATCCCCATTCATTCCTGCTCATCCTTCAAGGTCAGTTCCTAATCTGGCCGCCTCACCCCTGCTCCTCCAGGAGAGATTCTGAACTTTTGCAGGCTCTAGGCAATCTTGCTTTGAAGTACATCCACACGCAAGCTGTCACACTTCTGTTAGGTGTCTGCAGTCCTCCCACTGCATTTTGTCTGAGCCTCAACAAGCCTGGGAGCATCTAGAAAGCAAGTGGACATTTCACCCTTCTTTTGCCTTCCCTTGGTCCCTCTAGCTGACCTGGGTGGGTGTGCCTATTTCTGCACAGAGAGGTGGAGCCATAATCAAGTCATTGCTGACACACCTTTATCAAAGACAATGTGATCGGACAACAGACAGGTTTGGGTTCAAATACTTATGGACTGATCTCCTGACCTGTGTTCCTGGAACCTGTTGATTTTTTTTTTTTTTTTTGGTACCAGAGATTAAATGCAGGGATGTTTAACCACTGAGCCACATCCCCAGCCCTTTTTCATATTATATTTAGAGACAGGGTCTTGCTGAATTTCTTAAGTCCTCACTAAGTTGCTGAGGCTGGCTTTGAACTTAAAATCCTCCTGCTTCAGCCTCTGGAGCCACTGGGATTACAGGCATGCCCTGGGCCCTATTAATTTATAAAGCTAAACAAACTTGCGAATGTTGCCAAGATCTTTTTTTTGTTTCTGTTTTTGGTGCTGGGGATTAAATCAAAGGATGATTTACCGCTGAGCTACATCCTTAGTCCTTTTTATTTTTATTTTGAGATAGGGTTTTGCTAAATTGCTGAGGACCTCACTAAGTTGCTGAGGTTGGCCTAAAATTTTCAATCTTCTTGCCTTAGCTTCCTAAATCACTGGGATTATAGGTGTGTGCCACTGTGCCTAGCTTCATTTAGTTTTTTTTTGTTGTTGTTGTTTGTTTTTTTTTAGTTGTAGGTGGACACAATACCTTTATTTTATTTATTTATTATTTATTTATTTTTATGTGGTGCTGAGGAACAAACCCAGTGCCTCACACATGCTAGGCAAGCCCTCTACCACTGAACCACAACCCAGCCTATCAAGATCATTTTTTAAAAATATTTTTCTTTTTGCTAGGCATGATGGCACATGCTTATAACCCCAGACACTGGGGAAGCTAAGGCAGAAGAATTTCAAATTCAAGGTCAGCCTTGGCAACTTAGCAAGACTGTCTTCAAATAAAAAGGCCCAGTACCAAAAACTAAATAAATAAACAGGGTGGGGGATGTAGCTCAGTGGTAGAGCACCCTTGTCTAGTTCCC